ATTAAGAACATATCCTGCCATAGATTTGATTCCTCAAACTCTTCTTTGACTTGAATTTTAAAATTCAGTTGTTGAATCATTACTTTGATTTACGAGCTTCATTCCTTATTGCCACTGATAATAACAAAAGGAATTCTTTTCACTACCCCATTAATCAAAATTTCAAAAGCAGGTAATGATCAGATCATTAAGTACAATACATTTAAGACAGAATATTTCTGCAGGAGGGCCTAGATTTTTACACAGTGTTGGTTAATCCATAAAATGCCTTCTAGTGGATGACTATACCTCTAATAAGTGCATTCAGAAAGGCTACAAACTTTTCAACTTTTTTCATCATGCTAACCATATTCAGCTTGTCAAAAGATTTTGAGATAGATTAGGATGGAATTAGATTTAGTAATTTTGAATAGCATTTTCATAAGTCAACCTCTGAGATATAGACCATATTTAGTGCCAGCAATTAGAACAATCCCGGCTTTTCCCAAGTTCCTTCTGTTTGGAATTTGTAAGATAATATGGTCACCTAGTTCAGTGTTTCTGAGCCCAAACTATACTGGAGACTTAAAAATACTAAAATTCCACTGGACAATTCCTCCCCCCAGAGCCTAAGAGCTCAAAGAATAGAAACTGTAAGTGAAAATTTCAGAAGAGAGACAACATGGGAGGAAAAAGGCATGGGGAGTAATAGTAGTCAATTAAATTTAGAGATTTTTTTTTGCTATCAAGAGTTTTGTGGACTGGTAAAAATTTGCCAAATTCTAGGATGCTGGTCCATAAACCAACGATTGGGAAACACCCTGGAAAAGGTCATTACCACTCTGGAATGGAATCTTTGGCCTATTCAGTCCTTAAGCTGTTTCTCTGCCCTTCCCCTAATCAAAAGTAATGCAAAATTTACAGTTCTTTTATCTCTTGATTTGGCTACCAGCAGTCAAAAACATAGGTTGGAAGAATCTTCTTGAGTCTGAAGTATTGTATTCATGAAATCTCACTGTACTTTCCTAAAAAGTTCGATAAAGCATTTTAGAGAAATGCCAGAAGGGAAATGTGTTTGAAAAATCTTAAGATACAAGTATTTTTTTTTCTCTCTTGAAACTTTTTGGTTAATATGATCAACAGTGTAAAAATTCTCTAAGAAGAATAAATCTGTATTGAGTTGGAAGAAGGGGAAAGTACACAGAAGAAAGAACGTCCAATTCTGGTTTGAAGGGGAAAGGCTGTTCTTAGGTTTGCAATCAGGTCAGCTTGGGTCCCATTCAATTTCATGATGCAAATAATTTTATCTTGGTTTCTTGGGAGAGAAATAATATTATCAAGTGGAACTATTTCTCCCCCTATTTAAAAGTATTTGAATCCAAGCTATGGTTACTTACAAACAAGCCCTCTGAGATTCTGGAAGACTTTTACTTTTTGTCCTATTCACTACATGGTGAATCTGGCAAATATTTACCAAATATTCTTCCAGAAGCAAAATAGTCTCCAAATGATAGATGCTCAAAATATTTTATTAGCATCTGGATTGAATAATATCCTCAAGGGAAGGGACCATATCTAACTAAGATTATGTAAACTTTATGGCACCCAAAGTAGTGAGTGGTTCAATACATGTCTGATAAAACTGATTACCAGTTATAAAGTATCTTATGCTTCAATTCTTAGTAAATATGAACTAAGGAGAAACAGGAAAAGAATAAGACATGTACATATACTTGTATATTATAAACTATTTCATACTCCTTTTTGATTACAGTATTTACAAAGGAAACTAATGTAACAAGATACTGTAATTTTTCCAATAACAAAAGAAAAAAGTATTACTATTTAACAATATAAATGTTAAGTTGTGGGGACTGCTATTACTTTTGAATAGTAACAGCAACTTGTCTTCCTATCAGATTATCTGTTCATTAGTTTTAGTTCCAGGCACTTGTGATTGCTTATAACCCTATAACCCCGGTCTTGGGTTCCAAGTCTTTTGCTGGGGAAAAAAAAAAAGGCTTTAGAGCTAGCCTTGCTTCCTCAAACTCTAGCCCTGGTGTCATTAGGAGGTCCCAAACACAGAGGCCTTCCTTATCATGGAATGTATTCCCAACAAATGATAGGTCTATCATTTGTTTACACTAATAGTGCTTCTGAACATATCACTATACTTAAATTACTACGCTACTGTGATTTTATAACAGTACTTTTTGCCTAAAATAGAATAGTACTGAAATGGTCCAGAGGTATTTGAACCCTGATTATTAGACGAACTGACTGAGAATTAACTTACGGTTTTCTTGGCTATTTTGGACTACATATACTATAATAAAAAGTCACTAATTTGGCCTAACTGGGGAGAAGGGCAATCTAATGTAAACTTAACATTTCTAAAGTAGTTTTATTATTTAAGTGTATATAATAGAGCCAAAAGCAGTACTACCTGATATTTAAAAACAGCAGTCAAATTGTGATGAGTGCATTTTTGTAAAATAGCTAATGCTAAAGTGCTTTAAAAAAACATGTTTCCTTTAAGTAGGTCAAACCTTGCATAGCCTCAAAATTTGCTTAGGCATTCCTCTTTTCTTAGATTCCACAAAAGTAAATAAACTTCAGCCCAACTCTATCTTAATGACAACAAATTCCAAATTAATGGGGTCTTACTCCTTCCCCAAAGCAGCATTCCAACTGTTAAGCAAATCCTATTTCCCACTGACTTTCATTATTACATCAGAAAAATCCCTTAAAAGTATACCAAAGTGAAAACTGATGATAAAAGTGAAGATATGCCAATTTCGACAATATAGTCTGGAAATAGCATTCATTTTCTGGGCTTTGTTATCTCATTATGGCCTTGTCCCACTTCTATCCATCACCTCCAAATCCCCCTTTCTCTTATCCATGAATTCACAATATCTAACAGGGCTGGAGTGTACAATGTGACACTCCCCTAGTGGGTAGGAGTTGTTATTTAATTATGGATGTACTGCAACCAAAATTTGGCAATGTAAAAGAACTGAATGTTCAAGAGCAATTCTGGGAATTTAAAATTCTGTAGAAAAATTACTACGAATAAATGATGCCTCTATATTATGTGATGCTCATAAAATTAAGTATAAGCTATTAGACCTATTTCCTCTACTAGAATGCAATCAGGGCTGTCAGTGTGACTCCAAAAAACAGGAAGACAAGATTAATATTAAATATTTGACTACCTCTGTAACAGAGGTTAAACTGAAGGCAAGACAAGGAACATGTTCAGAATTGGTTAATCAAAGTTGTGAGAATTAGACTTTCCCAGAGTATGCTTAAGAACACACAAATTAATATTTTCAAAAATGCATTCTAGAATTTTGAAATAATCTGGTAAATTGCACACAAAAAAGTTTTAACTTTATAATAATAACTAAACTTTATGGATTAGAGAAAACTTATTTCAACATAAAACTGTAGTTTTTTGGTAAAAAATAACAGACTTAAAATTACAGCTTAAATATAACAACACAGCTATGGGAATTAGAGAGATAGAAACTCATTTCAAAATACAGTAAACTCTAGATATTACTGAGGAACTGATTATTTGGACCCCGGCCTCTACTTCAACCTGCTGGTTGCTTTGCCTTCTGGACATATAAGTGCAACGCTAGTATTATCTGCCAGAGGGAAGGCAGTGAAAAGAAGGTCAAACTATTATCTACTAATTCATGTAGAAAGTTTGATGTGAGAGAAGATCAAAACTAATAACCCCAAAACATCATTTTTCAGCCATCTGTTGATTCCATTTACCAAAGATGATTATAGACTGTCTGTATAAGTCACATATACAGGGAGTACTCCCAAATTCATACAGAACCATATAATTTTGTTCGAACCCACTTTGTCACAGATCTGTACTACAAATAAGAAAGCCAATCATTTTTCTGGTTGTACCCATTTTTACCTGAAAAAATTTATGTGAGTAGTCTCACCTCCCTAGATGGGAAGATATGCTTCCACATAAAATACTACAGCTGCATTAACCATCAAAAAGCATATATAGGAATGTGTCATTTTTAGCCATAAGGTAATTAGGAAACAAGGAGAACCTGAACTAAGGGAAAAGAACTTGGTCCCCATTAATTTAATAATCTTAATTATTACTGAATATTCCATTTCAATGGGACAAAGGCCACGGTAAGATATCAAAGTCCAGAAAATAAATACTTTGAGCATGACAACCAACCAAGAACCTACTTCCTAAATGCTTTTAGACTGTTCAGACATATCTTCAGTTTTAGGCATTCACCTGGCAGTTCTTTCTGGTTCACTACATATATTCTTTTTTCTTCTTTCTGTCCCACTTGTGTTACCTTAGCCAGTATCAAAGCATTATTACATCTTTAATGCTCTCCAGTAAACTTTCCAATACAAAAAAAGTGCATTTATAATTACATTATTTGGTATACTATTGCCAAGTAAAGTGAGAGGCAGCTTGGTTAGTGGAAAAAAAACACTGGACTAGGAGTTAGAAGAGCTAGGAAGAAGAAGTTAGCAGAGTCCCTGACTCTGCCATGCAAGTCGCTTAATGCCCAAGTGAGAATAATATGCATTCCTGCTTCTTTACAGGACTGTGAGGAGAACTAAATGCAATCACGGGAAGGCATATTCTTAAGTGCTATATAAATGTGTAGCATTACTATTATTTCACGACATATGTGCACTGAACATACAACTCCAAGATTGTAATGTTTATCTTAGTTTTCCTTTAAAAAAATACAATTAATGTAAGAATCTAGCACAGGATATAAATAAAACAAGATAATTTTAATTTGGCGTTATGAAGAAGTTCTCAACTTTCCTCAATCAATTTTGCCTTCTCATTTTACTAGAAGCAAAAATATTCCTGCAATTTTCATGTATTCTGGTTTTTCCATATTGGAAACTATTATGCTCCCTCATACGGAGCAAAGTAATTTACCTACTAGGAATCTTTCTCATTTAAAATGGGAAAGGGAAAAAAATGGAAGACGGTTATGTACTTAGATTGTGATTAGGAATTTATTTGCTTTACTAGCACTGTTAAAAGCACATTGTAAGATTCCTTGCATAGTATACACAAATAAGGCTACAGGCTGTGGGAGCACCAAATCTGGGATAAGCTGCCCTGTATCCTTGTCAAGCTGAAGGCACTATATACACAGCCATAACAAAGAGGTAGAACAAGATGAAATGAGGATAACAGCAGCAACCTAATAAGGAAGCAGGAATGTAGGTTCTCAAAGCCTAGACATAAATTATAGTCTTCAAACTTTTATGAGTCTGAAGGTCCCAAAGGGCACAAGGGGTGATAGGTCCCATAAAATCATTTGATTATCTATATGAATAGATTTTACATGAAGGTGGAATAATCCTAGGGTGGTGGTACAGTGGGGTAGGACACAAATATGGCCAATAATTATAACACTGGGTTTTTCCTTCCATTTCCAGCCCAACATCTCCCCCAAGATTATAACAGTCACAGTTTATCATGGTAGTGGCACCTCAGAATAAACCCACTTTGCTACATGCCATTTCTCACATACAAAAAGAAGCAGGCTACTGATCACAATGTCTTTTATAACAGATCTGAAATGGCAGTTCTGTGCAAACTATATATTCAAAGAATCCACATATGGAATGAAATTAATTCCTGCTGAATAAATTGCCACAACACAAGGTGTGTCCAGATCATCTCCAGTTGAGCTATGAGTGATGAAAATGAGGTTATGAATCTCAAATTCTCTCACTGCTTTTTCAACAACTTCAAGTTATAGCATTGGTTTTTCTAACCACTTCCATCCAGTCTCCGTGTTTTAATCACACTTCTCTAAACTTTCTCATCCAAGAAGAACCTTCTGCATCCTGTGGGCAGCAACACCGGCCTCATCTTCTGAGTCAGACTCGCTCTGGGAGGTGGAGCTGTGAGAAGCCGAGCTGCACGGGGAGGAACACTCTGGGGAGCACAGGTAGTGCATCAGTGGGAGCCGGTACTTCCCACAGAAGTCCACAAATTTGATTTGTCTAACACAGCAATCAAAATAGACACCTGCGGGGAGGAATACAAAGCAGTCAGCAAGGGATTGATGGTTTGCCTTGAAAAATGTCCCCTGGGGGACCAGGAAGAAACATTTTTTCTCCCGTCAATAACTGAAAACAAAGCATTTCCTTCTAAGTACCAGTCTTATTTGTTGGACCAAATTTTTAGTAAGTGGGTACTACGTACAGAATCCTGGACTAGGGTATGGGGAGACACAAATTTGAGCTGTTCCTCCTCCTATGGATGATGGCAATAGCTAGCATTTATAAAGCGTTTTAAGGTTTGCAAATTGCTTTTACATGTTATCTCATCTGATCCTCACGACCACCATGACAGGTTGGAGCAATCTAATATACCTGTGTAGCATTCTTGTAGCTACCAAGCATCAAAGAAAAAAATTATTATAAATAACAGTTTTACTCTTTTACTTTAGTGCTTCTTATGCTATAGCAGAAAAAAGCATAGCACAATGGCAGATCTGAAGAAATGACTCAAGTCAGAAAAAGGAGTAATGATAGAGAGTTTTCTTGACAAGAATGGATTCAAAAAGAGATTTAGGATTTTAAGCAAGCAAGGGCACTAAAAACCCCAAATTGAGATGGTACTAGCCCTGGAAGAGCTTGAGTCTCCTACTTCTTTTTTTTTTCATCTGCCTTTATTCCACCCTCATCCCCACCCCAATGCCTTTCCTTTTTATTCCTGCGTCCTTATGTTTTTCTGTTGTTTTGGAGATGAACTGGCCATGCAGAACGACCAAAGCACAGACAGACAACCTAGGTGCTATACTGGTATTCACAAAATGTTAAAAGGCAGAGGAAGGCCTTTGGTGCAATCACTTCAGAGGATTTGGGGAGTATACGGAGAAGAACCAAAAAGGATGAAAAGATATGGAGAGAGTACCCACACTGATGATGAACTCACATATTCACCAAAGTACTAAGGAATGAATGACACCTACAATTTAAAAACAAAACATTCTCTGCAGCAGCTTAGGTTCTTTAGGAGTAGTGATAAATTCAAGAGAGAGAAGCAGTATGTTGAAGATATAATTACAAATTTGACAAGTGAGCCGATAAAATGAGTGGAGGAATTAAACAAAGCCTTCTCAAGTGCTCCACATCTTCTGGATGAATAACAGCATGAAACTACTATCATTTCTTTTAGATTCAATTCATTTCAACACTTTTCTATTAAGTGATTATTATATGGTAAGTTGCTATTTGACCTAAGAATATATCCAGTGTTAAAATAAAGGCATTCGAGAAAATGTATTGCCTTCCTTTATGTACCTGCTAGTTCAGTAGCCAATAAGTCAGGAATAAAAATGTCTAAGAATAGTACTAGTTGTTCTCAACAAACCCTCTCTAGTTCTAGATAAATACATCTTGATCCTTAATGCATTTTTGTTCTTGGAATAAATGAGGAGACAAATGTACTAAAGAGGTTTTTAAAGGAAATCCCTTAAGGTAGAAAAGAGGGAGTTAAGGGTTGTCTGGTAGGGGGAACAAAAGGGGCAGAATATACCTATGATTTGAAGCAAGTAAATCCTTGGTGATGTCTTGCATATTTGTTTGCCATTTCAAAGAAAGAGATATTAGTAAGGCTCAAGTGACAGCTATTTTTTCACTGGCACATCACCCCTTTCCCAGCTTTTAAGGATATTATGTGTAAGAAAGTGCATGCACGTGTGTGTGTGTGTGTGTGTGTGTGTGTGTGTGTGTGTGTTTTGAATGTGCCTAATTGTACTTTTTGAGTGGTCTCTGTATTTTTTCCATTGATTTCTTTTATGGCAGTAGCAAAAGGAAATGGGACTTCCTGATGAGACTTAACAGGCTCTAATTACTAAGTGTCCTTCGATAAGTATGCATATAAATAATCTGCTTTAATATATACAGTATTAAACAGTATAAAGTACAAACTTTAATAGCTGAAAACAAACCAAAATTTCCAATTAATTGTAAACTCTTAAATATTTTAAAGATAAGAGTTTTGTGACAATAAGCAAGGATTAAACGAAAAAAACAAAAAGGCTTTTAGAACATGTCCTGCAGTCAATTAGTAAACATTTAAGCCAATCTCCTATACTGGGAGTTTTTAATCTCTTGTGTGATGGATCCCTTTAACAGTCTGCTAAAATCTAGGGATCTCTTCTTAGGATCACGTTTTTAAATATATATAATACACAGGATTATAAAGGAAACCAATTATAATGAAATGAAATTATCAAAATATTAAAATAAAAGCAAGTTCACAAATGCCAAGTTAAGAAGAACCTCTATTCGCTACTTCCTCTGCAACTTGTAGATGGTACCAAATGCCACTCGAATGGTGCTGGCCAGTACATATTCCAAGCAGTGAAATTCTTAAACTACACAAAGCTACAGAAAAGCTTCAAAATACATTAAGGAATAGAATACTTTATTTCAGAACATAGACACAATCTTGCTTGGTGGAAAGATGAGCATGGAAACAATGACTAATAACATATAGTAAAAAAAATCACCTTTCTAGCAAATACGAAAGACACTTTCCTTAACTAAAGGGTGCTTTGTGCACTAAATACGAGGGCAAATGAATAATGAGTCACAAGTAGGAAATATGGAACAAACTTACCTCCACACTTTGGGTTTGGGCAGTTGCTGGCTAAATCCAAGTATCGAACAAGGTTTCCAGGAAGGTCACAAGGAGTGTAGGAAATATTTCGGGTTTTAATGGTCCGACCAGCTAATTCCAGGAGAGTTGGAGGGTCATAGGTTAAATCTCTGACAAAACGAACCACCAAGGGATTACCTCGCAAACTCAACTCTTGCAAATGAACTAGGCTAAGGATCTCCCGAGGCAGGTATGTCAGGAGATTATTGTGGAGGCTAAGGGAACGAAGGGAATTCAACCTATAATGAATAAAATATCAAATTATTGATAGAAAAATATATTAGCAATAAATATTCAACAGGTAAAAAACAAAGTAATACAGTCACTTTATATTTTTAAAAATCTTTAAATATATGCACGTCAATTCTGTCCTATTTTTAAGAATATGGAAAATAAGATCAATGTTGTTAGGGATAGCATGCTGGTGGAACGGGGAAGTGTGAGTTAACTACAACAATTCCCAAAATCACAGCAAGAAAGTTGTGGTGCAGACCTGGGAAAATGTGGGTTAATTTTATCCCAGGTGGATTGATCTAAGACCAACTCATCTCAAGTCCTTTGGAAAACAAGAACATAAAAGTTATTTTTGGCCAGGGCCTCCTGGTCCAGTGCTTCTGACCTTATTGCCAGCAGTTGTTTTAATTTGTATTCACCTCCCAGTGTTTAGGCTTAAATGCTTTGAGAAGTGCTTCTGCCTGAGGGTATTAGATCTTGATTTCAGTAAAATGGTTTTTTAGGAGCTATTGGGCTCTGACTGATCCATTGACTAAACGTGTAATAGTGACCTGGACAGAACAAACTGTGAAAGCTTAAAGGTGTGGTATGAGGGACCATGGGAAAATCTGCGCCTATAGTTCCTCTGTGAAATTAAAACAAAACAAAACAAAAACAGAAACACAGTAAGACAGTAAACACTAAGACAAAAAACAGATCTTTACCAAACTGAATTTACTTTCTAGATAGGATTACAAAGGAAACCAATTATAATGAAATGAAATTATCAAAATATTAAAATAAAGGCAAGTTCACAAATGCCAAGTTAAGAACCTCTATTCTCTACCTTCTATGCGACTTGTAGATGGTACCAAATGCCACTCAAATGGTGTTGGCTAGCACATAATATTTCACACCAAGAGTTATAAACTCTGACAGGCCAGAGTTAGGTTAGTTAATTGCTTTATCAACTACAGGCAGAATCACTGAAAGTTCACAAAAGCTAAGGAATCTTGGATGTTTTCAAGTGGGTCCTAGTTCCAAAGTAGGGAATACATGTAAAAGGAGGAAGAAAAAAACTCAACCAGAAGTTAGAATAGCCAGGTTCTAGCCCTGATTCTGCCATTTCACGGTTATTTGATTTTAGGTAATTCCTTTAACCTCTGAGACAAGTTTAGTTTTCTCACTTGTAAAGTGAAAACAGTCTTGCAACACTCAACTGCAACAGTGCATATTGAAGGCTTTTGGAAATTGCAAAGGATTATACAAACTTATGGAGATGTCAAATTTTATTTTCCATTTCTATTTGGCCTCAAACAGGCTGAATAATAAAGTTGCTTAGGAAAAAGTCACACTTAAAGGATCATACGGCTTAGAGCCAAGAAAGACCTTCTAACTCCCTCATTTAATAAATTTGAGAATGAGGTCCAAAGAGATTGATTTGTTCAAGGTCACACAGTCAGAAAATAGCAGAGATGGGATTCCAACACAGTTCCTCTGTAATAGGTTAAATGGCAATTTCCTTCCTTGGCAGGTACTAATTTAATTACATATCTTGGAGGTATAATTCTTATGCATTTTATGAACTGTTGGCCCATACTTACATGGGTAGCCTATTGGTAAGAAAACAAAAATAGTAATTTTTTGTAATGTTAAGACATTTGAATATATTTAAAGTATCATGCAGCTACTCACTGGGCTAGCTGAGGAGGCACACTTTGAATCTTGTTGTCACACAATACCAAATAATTTAAAGAAGGCAGGTTTGCTAATTCAGGTGGGATCTCCTTGATGAAATTCCCTCCGAGGTACAAAAACTCTAAGCTGCAAAAAAGAAAAGAAAAATTGATCTAACACTCTGTTCAAACTCCTATCACACAGCTGTATCAGGCATACTGAAAAATAAAAGGTAACCCTCTTCACTCAAGAAGTGTATGATCTGTCAGGGAAGACAAAGCACAGATATAAAAAATATTCAATCAGGAGACAACATAACAAGAGAGCAATGCAGAAGCTAACATAAAGCAGTGCACACATGGAGGGAAGGTTCAGAAAAGGGCCAAGACAGCCTGGCCTGGTCTAGAAGGCAGGAGTGCCACACTCCCAGGGCTCCAGTCCCTCTTCTGCTACTTACTAGCCAGCTGCTTAGATACCCAATCATTTCACTTAGGAACCTTGCTTTCCTCATTTATAAAATGGGGGAAATATTTGCCTTACTAATAGCACAGTTTGGTTACAAAGCAAGTGCTCTGTGAACTCCAAAGTGTTGTATCAATTTGAACCAATGTTATCTTTACTGTAGAATGGTATGGTCATTAAAGGATCAAGAGATGAGGTGAAACTTGAGGTACACTTTGAAAGAGGGATAGGACTTAAGCGGAAAGAAAGAGGTACTTCAGGTTGGAGGACAGTATGTTCGCAGAATTCAGAGCTCAAAGATTTCTTTGAGATTGTCTTGCCTAACCTCCTCATTTTACAGAAGCCCAAATAGCTTAAAAAGTTTACCCAATGTCACATTAGTCCTGTTGGCCCAGTAAGAATTTGAACTCAGTCTTCTGATCCCAAACCCAGTTACACCATGCTGTTTAGAACAGAACATTTCAGTTGTAATGTGGACTTTGTGATGGGGAGCTGAATACAAGATATGAAAGGGAGAAAGGTAGGCTTGATAGATGGTAGAAAACCTTGAATGTAAGCTAAAAATGTTAGACTTGAGACTTTAAGCAATGAGAAACAATTAAGGATTTCTGAATAGGAGAATGACACAATCAAAGTGTTTAAATAATCCATCTTGGAGTCTGGGTTCCCCTTTGCAGCTTTTAAAGCCAATCTCAGTAAAATTACATTCAAATTGGTTATTACAGTGAAATTAGACACAGTATGTGTTTTGTAACAAAATGTAATTGTACAACTCAAAAGTGTTTCCAGAGTCAGTGAGGAGGCCTCTCCAGAAGGTCCCTTGTGGATCTGGCAGTGATACCCCCCTCTCTAATCTAAAATAACTAATTTTTGCTTACCTACCAATAAAATGACCAATATTCCATTCTTTTGAAATCTGCACAATCCCTAGTCACTACTGAATTTCTACCAAGAAAATCTTAAGAAGGTGGAAAAAAAATCCAAAATGATTAACTGGGATAAATTTTAGGCAGAAATTGTAAAGCACTCCACATAGCTTAGCTGTTGCAAGGTTACAGTTTCTGTCTTGGTGGCGCAGTGGATAGAGCACAGGCCCTGGAATCAGGAGGACCCGAGGTCAAATTCGGCCTCAGACATGTTACTTACTAGCTGCATGACCTTGGGCAAGTCACTTAACCCCGACTGCCTTGCACCCCCCCCCCCCCAAAAAAACCTTCATATCTCTGAAAGCAAAATTTTTTAAAAGCACAAATTTCCTCTTTTGTGACAACAAAAATCTCTTTGAGACTAGGGGCCTGTCTTAAACTATACTGAAATCAGCTACTTTACCCCACAAAACTAGAAGATACAACTGTCATAATGTCTTCAATTCTTTTTTTTCCCCAAGTGAACAAGTATTTATTAAAGAGCCTTCTATGTGCTAGGAACGGTGGATACAAAAACAGCAAGCAGTCTTTGCCCTCAATGAACAATCTAATGGGAGAGAGAACATGCAAACAACTATGTACAAATAAGACATATATAGGATAAATCGGGAAATAATTTCAGAGGGAAGGCACTAACCAGCATTAACTTCCTTTTGTCTCTATTAAAAGAATACATTAAAGATAAAAAATCCAGAAAGACAAATAGTTCCAACTTACCCTAACCATAATATTTCACCAAAAACCTAGTTTAAAAGACACAAAGCTATAAAATCTCATGGACATGTCCTTTCTCATCACATACTTTCTAAGCCTTTGCTTCCCACTGATGCTGGGTTTCATCCTGTCACTTTGATCAGGATTCTGAAACTCACGGCCTTTCTACATTGTCTAATAGTGCCCAAACCTGGAACAGCTAGCAGAATATGGAGAGGCCTGAGATATGCCTTCACTCATATAAACTAACCAGCTTCAACCACCTTATAACAGAGAGACTAAAAAGAAGAGGCGGCACAGTAGGGAAAAGAAACCAATGGTAATAACAGCCTTAGAAAGAGACGTGGGGGGGGGGGGGAAATGAACTGCCCAGATTATGGCAAGAATGTACCCACTCTACTGGGTTCAAAAAAACTATGTTTGAGGATCTTTGGCCTGCTAATAATCATAGCCCTCTTCTGACTTAAAGCAGAGACAGGGAAGCTGCATGTTCATGGAGTAACCTGGGAGATATTTTACATGGGGATGGGGGTGGGAGTAGGGGTCTGTGGTTTCATTGGATAGTATTATGGGACACTAGTATTATTTCCAAAGGTGATATCCAAGTCATTGGCAGGGTAGGGATATGCTAGAACATCTGGTGCTGATAAGAGCCCTCACCACCATTCTGTAAAGTTTCTAGAAGGATTCACCACATAGTCCTGGTGAAATGAGCAGAGGCTTATGTACTTTCCAACAACTGATCCATTCTGAACCACAGTGTTGCCATTCTTTGACCACATGGTAACTTTCTGCTATCTCTTTGACTTCATTCTCTGGTTCTGAAAACAGGTTTTGATTTATTTATAAGTAAAGTTCAAATCCTCAGTCACATTTTGGATCTGCTGTGGGCTATAGTATTTTTGCTCCATGAATCTACTGTTAAGTATATTCAATCAGGGGCAGCTAGGTGGCACAGTGGATAGAGCACCAGTCCTGGAGTCAGGAGGACCTGAGTTCAAATCCAACCTCAGACACATAACACTTACTAGCTGTGTGACTCTGGGCAAGTCACTTAACCCCAACTGCCTCACCAAAAAGAAAAAAAAAAAAGAGAGAGAGAGAGAAATATAAGTACATCCAATCAAGCCTGAGAAAACATTGTCCTCATCTTAGGTTTTTTGACCAGATTCTGATCTCTTTTCACTGATAGATCTTGAGTTTGTTAGGTGAGGAAAAAGTTATCTGAAGGAGAACGAGTGGCAGAGTCAGGAGTATCTTAATAAATATATTCATGCACAAATGAAGAAAGAGGAACAGGAGAAACTGTGCTTGGCTGGAGCTTTTCCACACTTTGTATATGGAAATTTGAGTATAAATCTGGGAAGGTAAATGGCTCTGTCTGGGACTGAAGATCTAGGTGTTGTAAGGGCAGCTCCTGTGGCTCTCCTGCTAGCACAACCAGTATTACCGAGTGAGGTCTGGAGCTCATGTTTGAGGGGAGATGCTCAAAAGAAAGGGTCCAACCAGGGCAGTCACAGGAAATCCAGGAGCAAAAGCCTTGAGTGTGTGGTGGGCAAAGTGCTTTGCAAAATATGGAATGCTCCACAAACCCCAAGTGTTTTAGATAGAAACTAATCTAGAATGACAGTACAGTTGTTCCTAGCATAGGAACAAAGGCTTAATCTAGAGGGTATGGCTGTTCTTTGTGAAATAGAACAATAAGTATTCCTTTTAGGGGAAAGATAGACCAATAGGGCTGGAAAGGGCCTTAGAGATCATCTTACTCAATTCCCTAATTTTAGAGATGTGTAAATTGAGGTCTGGGGAAATGACCCACTTGCCCCAATTAGCCAGCTAGTTGGCAAACTCTCATCCCCCAACTCCTAATCCAGGGCTCTCTCTTCCCTACCCCACAGTGCCCCAGGAGAGTACACAGGGCAGCTAAACATCAGCCTCTGTGGGGTCTAATTCCAGTGCTAAAACAGGACAAAAGAACTATGGAGGGTTATCTCAGCAAACGCACTGTACAGACCTGTCACAAAAATTCAAAGCTTTTCAAGTAACTTTAGGGAGGGAGAGTGCAAGTAAGGTGAATTTTAGTGTGTGTAAAGTGGATTTCTGGTTATTCTTTCTCAGAGTTTTCTTCCCAGGATCCACAGCCATAACAATCTCTACTTCCCAGGTGTTAAATATGAGTTCTCAGGATCATGGTTCAAAACATTTCTGCCGCTTGCACAGCAGATATAGGGATGAAGTGATGTAAAATTGTGAGGCTATTGCTGGCAATATGCCTTCTTTGTCTGTTGCCCTATAAAGCAAGTGGGCATTGGTCAGTGACTGGGGACCCCCATAGGGGTGAATGTGCAAGATGAATGCTGCGTGTACCTTGATCAGCCCCCATCAAGGCTTGGGAGGGGGAATCTGTGTGTTTGCCTCAATCAGCCCCTACTGAGGGGTAGTCTCGCCCCCTTCACGCCGGCCCCTGTGAGAAGGGTTGTTAGGGAATGCTGGAGGAGTTGGTGCTCCCATTATTGGCAAACTCCCTTTGAGAAGACTAGACTAGAATAAAGTAAGCTTGTTTAACCCTCTATTATGACTCCATTCCTGTCTTCCCATCTGACAGGATCAAAATCCTGCCACTGAGAGAGGTGCTAGAAGCCCTCCTGTGTCTCCTTCCTAAGAAATGGTGTATTTGGTGTGTTTACTTGTTCAACAGAGAGTTAAGGTCTCTCCAGGATTAAAATGGGTTAAACATTAGAGAATCTGAGAATTAGGTGCTAATAATCTTTTTAATTGATAATTTAATATATAACCAAAATCTCGGCCAGGGTAAGTCCAAAATAACTAAAATCTTGGTGAGATTTCCCTCTCCCCCCACCAAAAGTTTTTTCTGATAACCCCCCTTTTGAGTCTATTAACTTTGATGTTAAGGTCTGAAACAGAATTCAACTGGCAGAATGAAAAATCATTTTTCCATTGATTTTCATTATAATTTTAGAGGAATTCTGGCCTTGTGATGACAATGTAAGATGAGAAGGGGAGACATTCAGTCTAAGTGTTATC